TGTGGGGTGTGTGTGGTGTTTGTGTGTGGTGTGTATGGTGTGTGGGGTGTATGGTGTGTGGTGTGTATGGTGTGTGGGGTGTATGGTGTGTGGTGTGTATGGTGTGTGGGGTGTATGGTGTGTGGTGTGTATGGTGTGTGGTGTGTATGGTGTGTGGGGTGTATGGTGTGTGGTGTGTGTGGTGTGTGTGTGGTGCAGTGTTTGTGTGTGGTGTATATGGTGTGTGTGATGTGTGGTGTGTGTGGTGTGTGTGGTGTGTAGAGTGTGTGTGAGGTGTGTGTGGGGTGTGTGTGGTGTTTGTGCGTGGTGTGTATGGTGTGTGGGGTGTATGGTGTGTGGTGTGTATGGTGCGTGGGGTGTATGGTGTGTGGTGTGTGTGGTGTGTGTGTGGTGCAGTGTTTGTGTGTGGTGTATATGGTGTGTGTGATGTGTGGTGTGTGGTGTGTGTGGTGTGTGGTGTGTATGGTGTGTGTGAGGTGTGTGTGGTGTTTGTGTGTGGTGTGTGTGGTGTGTGTGGTGTGTGTGATGTGTGTGTGGGTGTGTGTGTAGAATGTAGAAGCCCTTAGAGGTTCTTACTCTAGTTTTTACCTTCCATAACAGCCTGCCCAATTTCTGGCATGTGGCTGGTGCAGTGAGTGAGTGATCAGACCCACTTCACCACTCCACTTGTTGAGTGGAACAGAATGGATTTCTTCTGTGCCTCCTAAGTATATGAGAAGCTACTGACAGAGTTGTAGGAGTTCCACTGCTCCCAATCTGGTTATCTGATGGCTGAACCACTCTGGCATACTCACTGGTGGATAGCTTGGAGGAACTTCCTCTGGTGTTTCCTGACTTTGGCATGGTCAATCTTCTTTAGCAGCTTTGTGTGTTTATAGATTAACCATGTTTCCCGAAGGACATTGGCTGCAGCATTCTTGATCTAAGGAAGAATAAATAAAGTAGGCTGCTATCAGGTTCATTTTCTTAGGTTCACATAATATTTTTTGTGTGTGTGGTTGCTACTGTAGTCTACCTCATAAGGAAACGATTTTGCAATGATCTATTTTCTTAACCAAAATCACGAAACTCCTAGAAAAGATGATTAAGGCCGGGCACGGTGGCTCCTGCCTGTAATCTCAGAACTTTGGAGGCCAAGGCAGGTGGATCACCTGAGGTCAGGAGTTCGAGACCAGCCTGAACAACATGGTCAAAGCTGTCTCTACAAAAAATACAAAATTCGCCAGGTATGGTGGCTCATGCCTGTAATACTAGCTACTTGGGAGACTGAGGCAGGAGACTCGCTTGAACCTGGAAGGCGGAGGTTGCAATGAGCTGAGATCATGCCATACTCCAGCCTGGGAAATAAGAGTGAAACTCCGTCTCAAGAAAAAAAAAGGAAAGAAAAGAAAGGAAAGAAAAGATGATGAAAATTCATCTGCTATTAATCTTGTGTTGGACACTGCAGACTAGAGCTAAATTGAAGGGTTCTTTCTTTCTTTCTTTCTTTTTCTTTCTTTCTTTCTCTCTTTCTTTCTTCCCTCCTTCCTTTCTTTTTTCTTTTCTTTTTTCTCTTTTCTCTTCTTTCTCTTTCTTTCTTTCTCTCTTTCTTTCTCTCTTTCTTTCTCTCTTTCTTTCTCTCTTTCTCTCTCTCTCTTTCTTTCTTTCTTTCTTTTTCTTGATTATTTCAGTACTGTCTCTTGAGTGCTGTTGCTGATGCTATATTTAGACAGGTTGCATGAGCAAGACCTTGAGTCCCGGGGTCCCCTCGGAAAATAGCTAGCAAGATACCACTGCTGCCCTTACATGCAGACTTCCGAGCTTCACCTGAGATTGCCACTTAGTGTATATGGTACATTGCTTGGATTCAGAGAGTAAACAGATTTCCTATCAGCTGGAGATTTTAAAAGACTTCTTTGAGAAAATGTCTTTCCCACTAATTGGAATTATAGGTACCAATAAGCCCATTGTCTCCTTTCCCAAATGGCCAAAAACATTTGCACTGCAATTTTACACGTAAATGTAATTGGCACAAAACGGAAATAATCTCAAAGCAATGTCTGAAAATCAGTGAAGATATTTAGGTGTGAAACCAGAGCTTCCTCTTTCCCAAGGCTGGCTCCTTCACTGTGCACTGCAATCACACGTTTCAACATATGACGCTGTCATCTGTTGACATGGAAACCACTGATATCACCAGGCTCACGACTGAGCTGAGACATATCAATGGCATCCAGATGGCAGGGGACAAAGTTTTAATCCAAACACAGACATCCTCAGCAATTAGTAACAAGAGCAAGAGAAAACATTCCTTATTAAGCACACGCTAAACAGATTTTTGATTAACCATCCCCATTTCTGTCAGTCATGCAGATTGGCACAGGTCCACAGGCCTGGGGCCTGGAAATAAGTAGGCCAGCCTAATAGAAATCAGGTTACTAGCCAGAAAGGATTTTAATAAAATTAGAGACTATAGACCTGCTTCTTCAGACTGACATCAACAGATGGGACGTTGTTAAAATACTGAGACGTGTGGGAAGGCTAGGAAACATTGTTTTGCAGGCTGATAACTTTTGTGTGTGTATGTTTTAAAAATTTATTACTACGGCTGGATTATATTTTTCATTGGCGCTGAAGTGATGTTTTTAAAAGAACAGCTAAGTCTTCTCAGAAATGTCTAAGGGACATAAATATTGCTTTTTTAAAAATGCAGTAAAGATCCACCATGAAAATAGTTTTAAATGACTTAATTGCTCGCCTCTAGTACTTTCTTGCCTGAAAGGAAGCAGATTGTGGTGAGAAGTTGGAAACGGTGGATGTCCAGGCGAGGACACTGTGGTCTCTGGGGTTCTGCTCAGGGAACTAGAGTGAACAGCAGCCTCCTGGGAAAAAAGGCGGCATGCGAGGGAAGCCTCGCTCTCTGCAGAGCACACACATTGAATACCATTGCCCTCCTCTTGCGGGGAGAGGGGCAATTGGATGTGTCATTTCTTCAGTTTCCCTAGGCACTTAGCCTCTTAGGAAAGCCTCGAGGAAACGGGAAAGTCTGCAGGTGAATCCCTGCTCTGTCAATTATTAAGCAGTTTAGGAGCAAATGCTTCATTATCTGTAAGACGGGAAAAATAAAGAGGGCTGCTATGAGGCAGTGATGATGGTGCTGGGGGCAACAGCTAACATCTACCAGGTGCAGCCACAGGTCTGAGTACTTTATATGTCTAAGCTCCCTTTAATCCTTACCACAACCCCATCGGGGAGGTGCTAACATTATCCACATTTTTCAGACAAACCGAGACACAGACCAAGACTAGACAATTATAAATGGCAAACTGAGTCAGTGTGGGTTTGAATGCTGCATAAAATGTAAAGTACCGTACAGATATTAGTTAATATCATCTAGCTCAAACCCCTCATTGAACATATGAGGAAACCACTTCAGAGATGGGATTTGAGAGCCAGAATCACACAGCTAGCTAATGGCAAAGTCAAAACAAGAGCCAGGTCCAGGAAGAGCAGAAGGTTTTCATGTGGACTGAAGGAAAGACAAACAAAATCATTTCCTGTTTTCCAGGATCAAGGAATTGGAAAGAACATTGGATTTTTTTTTTTTTTTTTAATCATCATGGCCCTTACTTAGCAATGTGACAGAACACGGAGTCCAGGTCCTGCACTTA